TGCGAGGAGCCGAGGCTGGGAGCCGCGTCCCGTCACCGCGCCGCGGAGGAGGTGCGCGCAGACTTCCAGCGCAGGGTGCCCTACAGCTTCCTGCAGCGCGCCTACATCCAGGTAAGCACAGCCCACCGGGCTGGCCCGGCCCCCGCCCCTCCTCACTGCTCCCTCCAAAAGGCGTCTCCTCTCTTCCATCCTCCCGAAACATCCCAGGTGTGTTCCCCCCCCTTTCATCTCAAGCCGCCCAGGTAGGGTCCCACCGCTCCTCTCTCACTGATGTGGACGTGCGGTCATGGCCTGTTCCCGACAAACAGCAGCCGGGAGGACACCGCAGGCTCTGTCCAGCCTTTGCTTACCCGTGCTTTTTGTTTTGCGGGAGGGATGTTTTTGCTTTCTCTTAGTATCTCTGTGAAACTGATCTGCCTTTGGTAGAGACTTTGAGGAGGAAAACCTCTAGCGGCACCGCAATGCCCTCTGCCAGAGGGGGTTTCCCTTTCGGGGAAGCTGAGCTGATGCTGCGTCCCAGGAGCTGGGAGTGTGTGCAGAGCTGGGAGGCAGACACCCAGTGCTGCCGGGGTCTGACAGTGTTAGACGAGGTGCTTCACGGGACACTGCACACTCAGTATGTGGCAGCCACTGACTTCTGCTGTATCATCCTTGTAGCCCAGTAAATTCTGCCTTGTAGCTATTACCTTCTCTGAGGAAAACGGTGTTATTCTTTGAATTTCCTTGCCAAAAAGAAGAAAAAACACACAAACAACTAAAAAAACCCAACAATCCAAACCACCCAGAATAGTTAAAGGTATTTTTCTTTTAGTTTAATACTCGTGCTGTGTCAATCCAGGTACCTGTAGTAAGTCTTCCTGCTCATGACTCCTAAGGACAGAAACTGTTCATCCCGAACAGAATGTTTAAAACATTTCTGGAACATTTCCCTCTGGATTTCTGCTTTACATTCGTAACCTTTCAGTTGCTATAGGTAACTTAATAGGTGAAGACCTGCACAGGGGAGCACGGGGAGTGTGATTCTGCTGAAATCCATTTCCTGTTGGAGAAGCAAAGTCTGTCCTAGGCAGTGCCAGTGCCTGTGGTGCAGGGCCTACACAGCAGCAGAACAAGGCAAATCACCAGCTACTGCATTTTAAAATCTTTTGGAAGATCATAGTCATGTTGCCTTTTCTGTACTTCCTTTTCTGCCATTGCCTTCATGTCATTTTTACATGTCAGGGACTAGAACTGCACTGAGTTCATCTCTAGTGTCTCTGTGCTGCATGGAGTTCCTGAAAGAAACCCAGGGAGTGGGACGAGGTAATTTGGCTCCTATGAAGCCGGCAGAATTCTCCTGTGGTCCTTACCCTGAAAGATGCTCTGTGTAATGTCACCACGTGTAGGAAGTTACACTAAATTTGCCATGCTAAAAAAGTGGCTTCTTCTTATGAATTCAAAGCCTTTCCCAGAGTCACAAAGGTTTGCTCACATCAAGCTCATCACCAAAAAACTTGCCTCAGAATTAGGGAATGGGGTTTTTGTCTCCCATTTCAGTAAAATCGATATACAAAAATCCAACTGATTTAGGGGTATGGTCTGTTCTCCCTCTTCTGCTTCTGCTGGGTCTGCGTTTTTTTCTTTTCCTCATTTAAAAATGCATTGTAAACTTATCAAATCAATGCATTGAAAACACTCATTTTTCTTATGTGTGACTCATCTGAAATTGGTTTTGAAATGTCTTGGGAGGTTACAGTCATGCTAACACTTGGATTTTCCTGCTCTCTGATGGAATAGTGGACGTTCCTGCTATCTGCGTGGATGCCCTGGTTTCAGGCAGTGTACCCAAGGGAAGGCACTCTTCATGCTGTTTGTTTTCAATAACTTTTTCTTTAACCCTTTCTCTTGGGTTTTGTAAGTAGCACTCGCCTCACATCCTCACCCCACTGCTGCCTGGGTGTGAGCTCTGCTCCTGGGATTGCTCTTTTGATCTGGCTCAACAAGTCTGTGCGTGGAAGAAAATGCCCCACGACACATTTGCCTGCACTTGCACGGAACACAAGGTCTAATGTCTACATACATACTTTCGGATGCGAACCACCCCTTGTGCCAAGGCTGAGTGCCAAGGCCTTGGCATGTTCCCCGAGGGCTGGGATGCACTGGCACACACACCCTCCAGGGACACCTCGGCTGCAGCAGCTGCTCCACGTTTCGTCTGAGAAGGGGAGCTGCACAGTGGGGCTTGTGCAGAGCCCCCCTGCCTTGCTGTGGGCACATGGGCAGGCTGCCTGGCTCCAGGGGTGGCTGTTTGACCCCCTTGTTTTGCTCCTTGAAACAGGAAAGGAAATGAGATGAGGTTAAACATCCTGCTGTGTATCCTGTCCAGCCCCTCCTCACGCTGCGTGGAGGGGGCCCTGCATGCTGGGTGCCTGCACTGGGTGCCAGCCAGGCTGGACAGATGGCATGGGTTGGTGTCATTTGTGGTTTGAGAGTGGAGGAGCAGCCTGGAATGTGCTTCCCACCTCCCACTCCTGCTGACCTCGTGCTTGTTTGTTTCTCAGGAGGAGAAAAACACATCCCTTTGGGAGGGACTGAAAAAGCAGGGAACAGATTTAAAAAAAAAAAAAAAAAAAAAAGTTTAAAAAAAAAAAAGAGTTTAAAAAAGAAAAAAGAAAAGTGAAGGGTTTGGCTCTTGTGCAGTGCTTTGAAAAATAGTGCTGAATAAACATGAGCTAATCCTTGCAACACTCTGGTGGGGTATGAAAAGCAAAGGCTTTTAGTCCTGCTGGACAGATGCACAAGCCAAGTGTTGGCCACCACCACGTGTGCCTCTACAAGTTTGGGGGCAGCAAGGCCACCCGAGCTGCTGCTAGTGGTAGACTTGGCAGTGCTTGGTTGGGTTAATGGCTCAACTTGGTGATCTTATAAGTATTTCCAACCAAAATGATTGTATGATTCTCTTGCTGCCTCTGGTCTCTCACTGCAGAGCAAGGGCCAGCACAGCCTGGCCCAGTTGTGGTGACGTGCAGTGAATTGGTGGAAAACTGGTGTTAGAACTGGAGGTTTGGGACTTTCTTTGCTGCATACTGGACCATAGCACTGGGTGCCCTGAACTGCATTAATCCTGCAGATGCTCAAGGTACTGCTGCATGGAGTACTGTGAAGGGGCAGGGAGGAGAGGACGTGGTTAGGTGAAATACTGATGGTGTCCCTCTATAAGAATATGTTCCATTGGCCTCTAAATCCATGTCATCCTATCAATTCCCTAAATCATTTCATACTTTTGTTCTTTTCTATGTACTTTTCTGAAATCTGTTTCACTGATGGGATCTGAGTGGGTTTGGTGACTCTAGCATGTTTTGGGGGGTGCACTGCAGGACTGGAATGCCTTGTGGATTTAGTTGAAATTTTCTCTGAGGTCGATTGCCTTCCCTACAGATACTGTAGACAAACTGCATTGAACAAGCAACCCAAGTCCAAATGTACTCACAAGTCATCTTTGCAGTTTCCAAACATGTTTTGTAAGTGGGAAGCCTCCCCCTTTTCACAGGATAGCTGATATTTTCAGGTAACTTAGTAATATATTTGGTACGGCTAGCTGAGATGGTTGAAGTGGAATGGGCTTTGAGGAGACCTGGAAACAGAGAAGGTGGTGAGAACCTGGTATTTAACTCTTGTGATGCACGTAGTGGGCTCTACAGCCCCCAGAGGAAAAGGTCCTTCAGTGGGTTTCTGATGTCATGTCCCATGGCAGAGGGGCAATTTACCTTGTGCTGATGGCTCTCTGCTGTGTGCTGGCTGCTTGGTCTTTGTTCATGAAGTGCCTTTAGGCTTGGTAGATGGGTGTGGGGGCATCTCTTTGCCCTTTCAATACTTTATTAATCACAACCTCCTTGCTTTGCTGCCTTACTCATCTTGTTTCTGTTAAAACCTAGCCTGCAGGTCATGATGTCTCTAACCCCTTCTTTTTGGGAGTTTCTAGCTCTGAGAATGAGTGGAGAAGGAGGAAACAGTGTACATGGTGAGTGTGTTTGCTGGCCTCAATCTGCTGACTCAGTAGCACTGTTGGAGCTTGCAGCAGACAGTCTGCCATGAGCCCTGTGACAGAGTATCACTTCCAGTCCCCATGCTGACTCCTGCAAGCCAGCTTGGTTAAAAAATAACAAGTAACCTGGAAAAGCTGATTGCTGTATCAATTATAAAAGCAGATCTTTTTTATCTTCTATCCTACTGACCCTTCCTTTGAGGTTTTTTTTCCCCCATCTAATCTTGTTCCTGGACACAGCATCCCCTGGCCTGTTTGCTGGATAATTGCTGTATCCCATTTGAATTCTCTCTGCAAAGGGGTGTGCTGTCACTGGGCACTTCCTACGTCCATTGGACAATGGAGGGTATTCCTTCTCTCTTAGTAGTGTCAGATTGTAGGTGGACTAAAGGTGCAACAGTCTGACTATATTTGGCTTTTTCTGCCTTTGTTTTGAGTTCACCTGTGCCATGTCTGAGATGTGCTTCACTTCTCCTATCATCTTGATTTCATATCTTGCAAGCAGAAAACAATAATGTTTAGGTTTCAGTTTTCCATGTTGCAGGAGAGGCTGTTTGTTCTTCAAAGCTGTTTCTTTGTAATACAACTTTTTCTGGTAACACAAACTATACAAAGAACTTGCACTTTCTGACGGTGTTGCTTGGAGAGAACTTTGTCTTTGCACCATTATCTTCTCTGCTACAGCTGATGGGGTAGTGCTGGGAACATGTCCTTGGGTCTCACTGTGCTCTCCTGCCTGCCCACACCTTGAAGATTTCTGAAATACAGAACAGACACAATAATGACTCGATAAAAGACCACAGGAAGAGTGAGGAGGGAGAAGACACAGACTGGGAGCCCAAACATAAGAAACTTCTGTGATAGAGGTTACTGCCCTACTCCAGTTCTGCCTTTGAAAACTCTCTAATTATGAGAATCCAAACTCAAGAGACTTGTGTACATAAAACCAGGCCTCTAATCACTCCAGATTAATTGTTCCGTCTTCTACCAGTGCTCATGTGAGTCTTAACATGAGCCACCCTTGGGTGTCTGTCCCTGAGCACCTGTGGCAAGCTGCAGGACGGCTAAGACATCTCCACCAAATTCC